GACTCGCTTTTGCATGTTTCGAGTTACTCCTGTTGGTGACCACTGTTCAGAGAAAAGCTGGCAGTTCGACAGGAGGCAGGGACAAATCCGGAGGATTCTGCAGCGGAGAGACAGGGAGGGGGATCGGCCTTCCCATGGGGCTGGCTTCCCGCGAAGGGCAGGACTGGTTGTGCCTGGTCTGGAACGCTCGCTCTCGTGGGCACGGGTACCGCTGGGATCCTCTGGAAGCGGGAGGCGGGTGAGCATCCTTCCGTCCTTTCACTAAAAGCTCCTCAAGGCAGCCCCACGCCCCAAGGGACTCTGCTCCGGGGCCACTCGGTGGGATCAGCAGCGGAGACACTAACTCTGAGACTGGAAACCTTTTTTTAAAAAATATATTTTTTGTTGATTTCAGAGAGGAAGGGAGAGGGAGAGAGTTCATAGGGCGATGCTCAACCACTTAGCCAGGCTGGCCAGGCTGGAGATCTGGTAACATGTAGCTGGGGGACCAGGCAAAACACACAAAAGATGCTGCTTAGCACGTGTCTGAGTTTCTGAAGCAAAGCGAACGTAAGGCACCTCGCTGAACGCACGGCTGTCCCGCACGCTCTCCCGTGAGCCTGAGCTTCGGGTGGCGAGTGCAAATGAACCAGCCTCATTGCTACAGACCCGTGCGGGAAATGCCGCCTATATCGTCTATCTCGGTCCTAAGGTCTCCTGTTTCTCAGCCTCCGAATCCCCCACCCAGCCCTCGGGTGCACATACACAACTGAATCGTGGCCCAGCGATCACGTTGTTGACCCGGAGGCCAAGGACGTCACACACGTATTGCCAGGCCCCAGGGGCGGTGTGTGCCTTGTGCTTTGGGAAGGACGGGCTCTGCCCGGGGCCGAGGTGGGGTGGGGTGGGGGGGGAGGGGACGGCGTTCCGGCCGGGTCACGGGAGAATATGGGCTCCTGAGAAGGGGGAGGCCATCTCCCACAGAGAGCACAGCAAGGCCAAGGCCCTGCGGTTGAGACATCCCTGCTTGTTCAGGAGCCCCCTTGCCTGAGATCGAGGGAGCAGGGCAAGGAGGGGACAATCTAATGGACCCCCGCCCCCTGCCCGCCAAGCCATTGGCTGTAGGACTTGGGGCTCACAGTGTTAGCAGATCTATTTGGGGAAACTACTGGTAGAGGAATGACAGTCTTAGAAAGGAGAGCACTCTTGCCGCCCACAGGAGCCACATGCTGAGGGCGGAGCTGGGCAGTGTCTGTCTACGGAGGACTGGAGCCGCTTGGGAGGTGAATGACGGATGAGCTGCTGGGGTGACAGATAGGGAGGGGCTGGCGGTGGGTGATTGGGCCACGGTGCTGTGATGAGAGGTTTGGGGTGGGGGTTTGGGGGGTGGGGATATACTCCAGCCATAGGTGCTAATGTTTCCTCCTTTGGAGTGAGTGGCACTGGGGTCCTTCCATTCCAGCCTGGCATGGCCGGGGCTGAGGTCTCCGAGGCTGGACACGGGTGGGCACCAGATGCTGGAGCGGGGCTGCCTGGCACAGACCGGCTGCTCCTTGTCTGTGAAATGACAGAGACCATGTCGTAGGGGAAAAGGCGAGGCGTCCACTGCTCAGCACAGTGCTGACGTAAGCGCTGTGCGGGTATTTGGGGAGCCCGTGGGCATGCAGGGCCACACGTGATGCCCATTTCCCCCTTCAGTCTGAAAGCGCTCCTGTTTGACCCACCACCACCATTTGGAAGGCAGACAACTGAGTTCATGCATTAAGTTAGTTCCTTCACTGCCCAGCAGCAACTGATGAGTAGGAAGCCTTTTGTAATTTCTCCCTTTTTATCGTCATCGCTATCATCAAAGATATTCGTTGACCTTCGGTTGGATGGCGGCCCCCAGTCTCAAAGCCTTGCTGGAGTTGGGAAAACAGACACAATTGTAGGTCGTAGGTCGTCCACAGGAAACGGGAGGTGGGTGCTGAGGAATGAAGATTGCAGATGAAGATTGCAGGGAGACACCCCCGGCAGCCCCTCCCTCTTGCCTGGGGCTGGGAGTGGGGGTGCTGTGTGGTCTGAGGCCACCACACCCACTCTGATCCTCAAGCCTGGGTGAGGAGGGGCCCGGCACAGTGTTACGGGGCAGGGGGGGGGGGCAGCCCCGACTCTGACGCAGGCCCTGGAGACACTGTGGGTAGATGGTGAGGCGGGACAGGGGTGGGTGGGGGCACTGCCTTTGGCAGGACTGACAGCCCAGGGCAGTGGGAGGCGGCCCCGCCCCGGCCCCAGGAGGGGGACTGTCCAGGGGCCAAGCAGAGGACTTTCCCCGGAGACTTTCATTCTGGTGTGAATTGCTAAGGGGGGAAAGGTACACAGAAGTAAACATGGTTTATAATGTTTCCTGAACCTCTGACATGGTCAAAAACATTTTTTTTCTACTTTTCACCTTGAGAGTTTTAAAATTCAGAGACTACCTTTTTCATTGTAGGTAATGTTTACCTTAATCTGAATTACTGTGGATGGCAATGGTGACAAAAGGTAATTACATTTAAGTGATATTTTAACTTAAACATTCCTTTGGGAATATCTGGGAGTCACCCAGTTCAATACAACTGTCCACCCAACATGCAGGAGTTGTTCCAGAAGCAAACAGTGCTGCGGAGGAAGAGGGCTGCGCGGGCTGCAAGCCCAGGTCCCGAACCTCTAGTCCATAAAGGAACCCTTCCCGGCTCCTCACGCCCGCGCATTGTGGGCAAGCCTGGCACTGGCATCGCTTTGCCCTAAACACTTCACAGGGCACAACACGGGCAACGGAAGCTGAGCTTCTTGGAAAACATTCTGTGAGGACTTCATGCTGCGTGGATTTACTCAGCTCTCAGGAACGCAGAGGCATCTAAACGGAGGAAGTCGGCTGCGACCCGGGACACACGCCCTTTCTGTGCCTGCGGAACACAGAGCAGCTCACACTCTCCGCGGCCACACTGGGCAAATGCTCAGGGTTCCTGAGACCCAGGAAGAGTGCTCCTCCTCCTCTAAGCACAGCGTCCTTCTGTGGAAAGATGTGCAGGGCAGATTAATGCTGGTTTTTTCCCTTCTTCTTAGGTGGCTTTGTGCCAATGGAAGAAAAAAACACCCAAAGATAACACAGACCTGTAGACACCCCCAGCCCTGGGCTCGCCTCCTTTCTTTGGGCGTTAAAAGGCTCCCCTTCTGTGTGGCAATGACAGGCCTGCCACCCCCTCTGGTGAGATAAGGCGCCCTGGCTCAGCGCCCTGTTAGCCATCATTACATCCCCGTAATCCTGCTGCCTGACCTGCTGGGCCAGGAGCCAGAGCTGGCAGGGGGAAGACACGCCCTGTGCATTTAAGTCTAACACAGACTCTCAAACTGCCTAAAGAAACCCGCTTTTTTATTTTTTTAAGGATTAAGAGGGGAAAAAAACCCACACACAAGAAAACTATGTTCAAAATGTATGAGATATCCCGGTAGATTAATGAGGCTTTGGGGCCAATGTTCTGTATTCTCATGGGAATAGACTCTCATTGTACATTCACTGATTTACTTTTTTAATTAAAAAATTTAGAAGCTTTTGTTTTAACCTACTGTGCCTAAACCTTTAATTGCTACAGTTGTAGATAGATTTCTCTAGTTATATTAAATGAGAAAACGTAAAATATTCAGTACAAGACAGGTGTGTAATAACTGTTTCACGTGATGTTCAGATGATCCAAATTTGATGCTAAGCCCACTAAAACCATGCCATTTAACTCGACTTCTGCACATACCTGCACATACCTGCTACATTTGCATGGCTCTGAGCTGAGATGAACCACTGAGAGACCTGAAACATGTAAAGACTCTCTTTCCCCCCAAGGATCTCTGCCTGTTTCCAGCCCCAGAAGCCTCTGGCTTCGCGCTCTTACAATAGTTACTGGGTCTGACCATGTGAAATCTCACCGCAGTGGGACAATTATGTTTCACTGCAGTGGCATGGAATTCAATTTAAAAAGATAAATGAAGGCCTAACCAATGGACACGGACAACAGGGGGGTGAGGGCATGAGCGGGGGGATAGGGGGTAACGTGGGGATAAGGACACATATGTAATATCTTAATAAATAAAAAATAAATAAAAATAAAAAAGATAAATGAGATTTGTTCGTAAAAGAGATTCCACCCAAATCAGCAAAGATCGCAAGTCTAGTGGCGAGTACGTCTGAGCAGCCCTGAAAGGACATGGCCGTCAGGTAGCGTGTCTCTGGAGCAGGCGTGAGGCTGGGCTTCCAGTCAAGGTCTCTGTCTTGGGCTTTGTGTTACCTCTTTTCAAAAGGCGATCTTTTCATATCTCCTGCTCAGCCTGTCACACAGCTAGTGCTTTAAAAGGATTATTGATCCATTCAGGAAATCATTCCTTCAAACGCTACCAATTTCTCTTCCCAGTTTCCCACTTGCCTTTGACTGTAGTCACATGATCAATCTTGCCTTCTGCCTCTGGTTTTCAGGCTTAGAAAGTCCTTCACTGTCCCAAGATCACCAAAGCCTTCGGACTTGTTTTCTCCTAACACTTATAAAGGATAAGAATGTTGTGACCTTTGACCCATCTGGGATTTCCTTTGGGACATAGAGAGTAAGGAAGTGATCTAGCTTAAAAAGCAAATTTAGCTCTCAAATACAATGAATAGAAATATCTGGATACCATTTATGTAACATTGCTTTTTAATTTTCTCAAAAATATTTTTAATTAAAAAAATAAACTCAAAGCTCATTTATATACACTTCATAAGCACAATCGACACATAGATGTACTATAGGTATGCATATCTATGTATGGATATATAGGCCAAAAAAATTATATTTTCCACACTTCTCTGGAATGTTACATTACAATTTGACATTATTGTCACTATTAAAATATTTTCCCTAGGAAGTTTCTATTTTATTTTTCTCATTTTCTCACTTTCCTGGATCTTGAAGATTTCGTTTTTGCTGTACTGTATTTTGTTTTAAAAAGTCTCTTTTCAATTAAGCTCACTTCTTCGTGGAGGGAGTAGGTCTTTATTCTTAGCAGGAAGGAGAAGAGATTGATTATAAACTGGTAAGTCAGTGAGAAATTGGATTCTTCATAGGTTGTCACATGTTTACAGTAGCTGGAAGGAAGCAAAGGAAGATGTTATCTTTCCATGGCCACCTGGAAAGCATGCCTCTACCCCCTGAACAGCTCCCAAATAACTGAACAAGTAGGTATGTTTAGGCTTAAAATAGTCATCTGAGTTGAAAGGAAACTTAGAACAATTTGGTAGAACTCCTTAATTTTACAAAGGGAAGAACTGTGGCCCTGCCCCTGGCCTCATGCCAGGGACACAGGCGGTACTGGAGCCAGCTCTTCCAGCTCCGGGTCGGGGCTCTGCCACTCCTTCCCAGGATCCCCCACTTCTTACCAGGATCAAGGTAAACAAAGCAGAAGGGAGAGATTCTGGACCCATTTTTAAAACAAACAAAAGAAAGCAAATACTCCCCCACTCCCACCCAAACTAAGGCACAGACTTGATGAGGTAGCCTCCAGTCCTGTGCGTATCACAGGAAGCGTCTACACAGCAACTCCACTTATTCTAAAGTAGCAGATCCTGCATCTAATAAAACCTCTACCTACCACCAAATCTCTCATTCAAATCGCAGTCTCTAACTCTGTCCCGAGGCGGGCAATCCGGGGACACGGGACCGTGACACCATCTATATGGTGCGGGAAGTTGTGCAGAACTCATGACTGTATTACTCAGCCAGTAAAACGCAAGGGGACAGAGGAGATAAAGGAGGAATTTACCAACTAAACCCCTTAAGGGATATCTCAGCCACATGCAACGTATAGATCTCATTTGGATTCTGGGTTATTTAAAAAAGTACACGACAATCGGGAAAATCTAAAAGTGACTGCATGTTTGATAATATGAAGGAATTATTATTAGTTTATTTTATGTCTGGTCATGGTACTATGGCTTTGCTTTAAAAATATATATTTTGCCCTAACCGGTTTGGCTCAGTGGATAGAGCGTCGGCCTACGGACTGAAGGGTCCCAGGTTCGATTCCGGTCAAGGGCATGTACCTTGGCTGCAGGCACATCCCCAGTGGGGAGTGTGCAGGAGGCAGCTGATCGATGTTTCTCACTCATTGATGTCTCTAAC